CTCAGAGTTTAGGGTCTAGGGTGTAGGGTTGAGGGACTACAGAGTGGTTGTTCTAAATAAACATAGGGGTTATATATGGAAATTTAGGATTATATAGGCTTGTTTTACTACATTGTGTGTCGAGAGGTAGGGTTTAGAGTTTTTCCGTTTTGACCCTAAGAAGGGAAAATCAACTGGACAAGCACATGGAGCATGACATGGACACTGCGATTATTTGTGCATATATTGATGAGTGTGTATATTCAGAGAGAGAGAGAGAGAGAGACAGAGTGAGAAGAAGAAGAAGAGTGTGAATGGATTATAAGGTATTCGTAGGGTTTTCATTATGGATTTTTGATTTTTGTGAGTGTATGCAGGGCTTCTGAGAAATGTAGGTGAATGTCGTCCATTGTGGGGGACGATGAATGGAAGGTGCGCCCTTCTAAATAGGGGACGACTGGAAATGCCTTTTCTACAAGGAGGGTCCTGAGCAAAAAGTGACCTACCTTATCGCGATTTTTGGGACAAGCAATTTTGCAAAACTAACACATGTCAACTATAGAATGGCCAGCATATGACATAGCATTTGGGCTTGGGCATGCATAGGGAAATGGAAGCGACTATGCACTTAGGGCAGAGTGGTGGCGCAAATAGAAGCAGAATTTAAGGGGTATGCATGGGGATTATGCAGGGATCGCTACTTCATGCTCCCTAGACCCTACAGCCCACACAACGTTGTTGTTAAGGACCTTAAATCAAGTTATGAAAATGGGTATGTATATTATATATATAAACTCACCCCCTTATAGTTATGTATTTACCCATTATGGAACTAAAGTTAAATTCCTACACAGCAACCCAGTAAACTGCGTGAGTACGGAATTAAAGAATGGAGCCAACACCATGCAGAAAGGCCCAGGTGGAAGCCGGTGGGGTTAGCCTACCTATAGACTTTCATGGTCCTTAGGTTTTAGGGTTTCGGGTTTAGGGTGATAGTAGCCTACCTATAGACTTCATGACTCCCAGGGTTTAGGGTTTAGGGTGGTATGCTGACAGGGTACGAGGGGCCCATGTTTGCTTGCCCTAGCTTTCGTTGCAAACGTAGTGGCTGCTGTTGTAGCAGGCTGTGTGGCATTTATACAGGGGTGCTGATCTGATGCCATGTTTGCCTGTCTGCGCAAGACCTCACATGTAGTTCCCGCGCAGGCACAGAAAAACACGGAGCCACTTGCCCAGCATTGGCAGCACAAGGACCCGGATCATGTCTTTGCAGTCCACAACCTTCTGGTCTGTTGACCACCTGAATGAGGAATTCAGATTATGATGCTGTCAGCGTTAGCCTAGATTGTCAGACATGTGGTTGATAGCGAACTTGTTTTTTAAGGCGTGTTCGCGGGACGGCAGGGAAGGTGTTTGAGCTTCCCGCGCTTGCTTCAACGTCAAAGTTAGAACTCAAAAGACTGTCATGAGATCTCCAGCTTCTATTTTTCCCAAGCTCGAAGCATGAGAGTTTTTGCAGAACTAGCCTTCTACCGTTAGTGTTGACGCTCAGAACCTGCCTAAAAAGAAGCTACATATTCAGGGTTTAAGGATCTATTCCTTCCATTGCAGTAACCCCCCCACCCCAACCCTGAACCTTAAGTCCTAGGCACATGTGCACACAGTTTGAAGAGCTTCGTGCCCGGATCTGCTGAGGTAGGATTCATTGCAGCCACATGAAAGCCACCAGGAGGTTGGACAAGTACAAAACCCACAGACCTGAAGTCCCAACATGTTCTATCCGCAAGTCGAACGTCTCAAGCCGTAGCGCCTCAGCTCGAAAACTCGACAAACCAAAGCCCTAGTTACTCCTAGTTACAGTCCTCCTTAAGTAGATAGAATATGGCTTTGGGTACATTATGGTAAGATCCCCATATACCCCATAGTCTATCTACTTAAGGGGGACTAGACATTCATCTCGGTAGACTGAAGGCACATTGGTGAGCAAGTCGTTTTGCTCTCCAAGCGGGCTGGGCGCATGGAGACCGTTTTGGGCTTGGAAGAGATGGGCAAGGCCAGGCCTATCATGATTGCTAGTATCCTCGTTCTTATATACTCCGCTTTAGGTTCAGTGTGTAGGCCTTGTTCTTATATACTATTTTTTAGAGTTTAGGGTCGAGGGTTTAAAGGTGTAGGGCCTCGTTCTTATATACAATGTTTCACGGATTAGGGTTGAGGGTTTAGGGTCTAAGACCTCTTGTTGTATACTATGTTTTTCATGGTCTCAGGGGGCTCACAGAAGCCTAGCTGGGCTTCTGAGCCCCTTGCATAGCTCAACATTTTGGCCCCGGCAAGGTAGCCATGACATGATCCCAACATCCCAGGGGCCCCATAACCTGGGTCCTGGGTGTAGGGTTTAGGGTGCCGGGTTCATCCGTGAAGATTATCTTAGAACTTGCAGAATGTGTACATAAAGGCATGTATGAAGCAGGTTCTCATTTTGGTCGGTGGTGAGTGTGTCTTAGTTCTGTCGGAATGTTGGTGACTGAATAAATTTGGTTTCGAGTTTGGGGGGGACAACCAGTCCAAATCCCTCGACGCTAGACCTAAGCAGTGGTTTCCTGTCTCTTTTCTATGATCCTTCTATAGTTATCCAATGCAACTATATAACCCCTACACAGCCCGTATGTGGATACAGGTATGCTGAGAGAATTGCCTGATAGGATGATGCCGAGCAAAAGACGGGTGTGGTCTTCAAAAGCGGCATTCTGCTGACAGAGTCGTGTCCCGGCAGCACCCCATTCAGTTCAGGAGTTATGGGGAATGTAGGGGGATTATAGGGGCTGTGGGGAGTATATTGTAGGGGTTATGGGGGTTATACAGGGGAAAAAGTTTCCCAATGTTGAAAATGTCTTATCTCCTGAGTGAAGCTTGCTGCTCCCAAAGTCTGTCCTATTCTGGAAACCTTTATTAATCTTACGTATGGGGTGGGTGGACAGCAAATTTCCAGCAAGAAGGAAGTACCTGAATTGAACGATGCAAAGAGATTTAATGACCCTCTGCCACGGACCATATGGTAGTTTCCCCTGAATAGGGGGCCCCCAACATAGAACCCAAAATAATTACAAGAATCCGCATGATGGGAACCCCCAAAAGGGTGTATACCCCTAATTTTAGGAAACCCGTATAATCTACATACAGTGGGCATGTTGGATTGTGGCTCTGTAAGCTCGATGCTGCCTGCCCTCATATTCACAAACCCGAGGCCTAAGTAACATTGCTGTCAGGCAGATCGCTGCGTTCCAGAAGACCTTCCAAGAGTTCGACTTGGATGGTTCCAACACGATCAGCATTTCGGAGCGCGGCGCTGCGCTTGCGGAGTTGCGAATGTCAAGAGCACATTTGTTGGGTTTTCCCTCATAAACGAAAAAACTAATGCATACGTTATGATGTTTAGGAACAACTCTGTGCCATGTTGCATTCCTCAATCTCAGTACGATTGAATGTGTTTCCTTTGTCGATGTTGTTTATTGAGAGAAAGCTTGGAGACGACTATTGAAAGGCGGGACCTCCAAGAAAGCGGCAAGCACGCCTTATGAGCCTTTACAAAATTGAAATGGCGGCTAACTGCAGGTGTCCTTTATCTGGATCATGCGAAAGCACATAACCAGTTTCCACCATCAGGCTCAGATGAGGAACAGACTGAGCTTGCCACCGCACTTGGCCCACACCTTGGAAAGTTAGGCGTAAGGCTGAAGCCCGCGCAGGGGGCATGCGTTAAATCTTCAGCTTTCGACCACTACGCGTCTGAAATGGTAGGTAGCATTGTGGGATGACTTGCATGTTACATGTTAGTTAAATTCCACAGTCACACTCACGGCCTTTGTGCCCTTCTAGTCTCAAAAGAGGCCAGCTTGCCAAACGCGGACAGTACAGCTTCATCAATCAAGCCTCAACACAATTCTGACAAGAACCAGACTCAGAGGAGCATTATTTGGGCGTTTTCCAACATTAGGGGTGCTTTTCTTGGCGGTCCTTATTGGTGTGCCCCCGATTTAGGTAAACTACCATTTATAGACTTCTGTATAGACTTCTTACTACACTTATGGGCACAAGTAGAATTAGCCGCGTGTGATACTTTGCAGAACGTGTCAGGAGTTGGAGGCGGTGTTGCAGCAAATCGGCCTCGATCCACCAATGGACATCGTCTACGCCATATTGGAGGCAGGCTTTCAGATAACTTTCCAGATGTCGTAGCAGAAGAAGAAGCAAAGGATTACGTAATTTAAAGTGAGTTTGGATACCCCTGATGGGTCACGGGCCTTTTCACTTGTTGCAGTTCAAATTCCTTGATAAAGAAGGCCTGCTAGGAGTTACAGTTACGGGGCCCATTGTGGTACGTCTGAAGCGAGCCGGGCCCAGTGGGCCGTAAGCGGGACAAGTAGGATCCTAGGAGTTCTAATTCAAAAGGTCGTCAATTGAGCTATAGTCTACATGAACTCCTTGTATCACCCCTTAATAAGCCCTATAATAGTCCCTTATATAATCGCCCATATAACCCCCTNNTTTAGACTATAGCTCATTTGAATGCCAAGGTTTTGGTTGCATTGGGTCGGTTGGCCTTGGAAGTGGTCTCTACAAGAACCCACTTGTCTCTGCAGGATGTCATGTGTGCTATGTCTGTCGGGTCTTCACGAGTGTTCGCCAAAATTACGGCAGCTTGGTGAGGGTCCCTAGAAGATTAATGATAATCTTATGGGGTCTACATTGAGGTCCCCCTACTGTGCGGAAACTACCATAGTTCCGCAGGCAGCATGGGAGCCGGCTGTGTTTGCTCAGTGTTAAGAGGTTCGTTTCTTCTGCTGACGCAGAACCATCTGGAAACACCCTGCAGCTGGCCCCGGCAGCAGCATCAGATTCGCTTTTTGCCCGGCTGCGTTGAGTCCTTGGGGACCTTATGTCCTTTCCACCTTTGCCATTGGGTCTGAGGTTGTGGGGGAGGACAAGGTGCATACCACCCAGTAGGACGGCAGTCATTGCCTACAAAAATCGAAAATATCATTGCCGGAGCCCTCTTGACCAAACTCTAACAACTATAGAAGAAATTCAAACGTGATAATGCAGTTCAATGATAATCATAACACCGGATGCAGGCGATCGACATGGACCGGAGCGGTGACATAGTGCCTTGGCAAACGCTCACGAAGGGCTCAGGGCGTGAGATGGTACTGGCTACAGCTACCGGGCAATGCTGATTTCTAGTCTGCTGCTCTATGCCTATTTCCCGTTTCTTGTAGCGTCACTACCGCAACGCGGGAGGCTTGTGCTAGAAGATATACCTAAGAAGCTGTCCAGGCCCTACAAGAAACGCCTGGAAGTATGTTAAATGTTGTGTGAGGCCAGGTGGACGGACCCGTTCCTGTAGCAATCAGCCACCTTTGCCCTTATAAACTCAGTGGGTTGTTGCATTTTTTCCTAGGACATCAGCTTTATTTTGTGCAGATGGGGCTGCTATATCGCATTCCCTTTATCACTGGATGTTTGGGGGGGGGGGG